GGCAGGGAAGGCTACGCAGTACACAGACTAATGTCGCGCAGCGGCTGCCTCTCTGGTGGACTCCGGTACTGCACATTACTCCGAGACATTTTCAAAAAAATATATATATTTATTTTAAGTGAAACACCCGGGGCTTTTCAGAAAACATCCGGGGCTTGAGCCCAAGTAGCCACCCCCTAGCGCCGCCACTGGGAGAGAATACTTACTTCCGGGTGTAAAATTCTCTAAAGCAACTACTATGAGCTGCTCCGACCCTCGGTCCTGACGGACTCCAACTTGTGTTTATTAGTCAAACAAATAAACAAACACAAGGATAATTATGTGTTATTGTTGAGTAAATAACAGTGTGTGGTTTAGAAAATAATACAAAATTAGAAGGAAAAAACGATGAAACAATACAGATTTCAGTATTCTGAGCCCCTACTCTCCCCATAACTAACAGCAACAAAAGTCCTACCTTATTCAATTAAAATAAAGAAGTAAAAACAATAAGTGTGGCTTGATATTGAGTAAGAAAAAGGTTGATAAACGCTGTGAGAATGGATCTGCGGAGAGCATTTCGCCGCGATCCCAACTCCTCTATTACCAAAGTTCAGGGAGTTCTATGCAAGTCAATGGGGCGCCCTGCCCGTTAAAAACGGACTCTCAAGGGGTACCCTGTCCGTAATAGAGTGACGGGGAGGGGCCCTGACCGACCGTCAACATGTGACGGCCTGACGGGTTGGGAGTGAGAACGTGTTGTGTGGAATGCCCTTCCAAACCAGCTGAGGACTGTGGATGCTTTTAAAAAAGGCCTAAAAACACATCTTTTTAGAATAGCCTTTTACTAGATTTTTAAAAACCCCATGAATAAATGAAACCCATAAACATAAACCCATAAACCCCATAAATGTCACTGCTTTTATTCTGTTGTTTTTATTGTTTTTGTTGTTTTGTTTCACCCTTTTTACTCTGTAGCACTTTGAGTTGTGTTTACTCGAATGAAAAGTGCGCTTGTAAATAAAATAGATTATTAATATTATTATTATTATTGTACAGCTCTCCACAATGAAGGAGAATCAACAGTACACATGCTGGAACTCTGAGGCCCATACATCTAGCCAGGTCAACCTGCAGACTGGAATGCTTGCTGTAAAGCTGGCACTGAACAGGCTTCACCACAAGCTGGCTGCTGAGGGCTTTTCTCAGGTATGTTCTCTCCCTGATATAAGTAGTTTGTTGAAGTGTTTTTACTTGTGCTTTGTCAAAGAAAATCACAATGGATTTTTTTGGTGGTGGGTTTTGAATACAGAGTAATGCCTAGAAAGCTTGAGGAGTTACAAACTTGACAATCTACAAACTGAATTGGAAAAGATAGCTAAAGTGATAAGGAAATTAACACAATTGACCAGGAGGATATTCAATTCAGTTGAGCAGGATAAGGAAATTCAAAGAGGATGATTCAGATAGGTGGACAATAGCAAAAGAGATGTATAGAGATGCAGAGGCTTGGGGAATTGATTGACTTTTTTTATTAGACGGGACATTTCAATCTCATCACCATCAGCTTTGGGCATAGTCTCATGAAATAAAGAGATTGAATAGAACATTTAAAAAAACATAGAAAAGCCTGAAATGTAAAATAATAATAAAAACCCAACATGGTAATGTATTTTTTACCTAAGTGTACTTATAGGTACTGGTACTGGTATCCACTGGTTTGTCGTCATATTTTAAATCTGGTCTATCTGCTGTTATTTTCCTGGTTGTGCAGGTGTATGTGGAACAGCTTGATGAGTGCGTAGTTGCAGTAACCAGACACTGTCCCAGCAGCCACCAGTCTGTGGTGGCTGTGCTGCGAAGGGCGATCAAGAATCCAGAAACACACTATTATACAAATGATGTTCCACCCATGTTAATACCAGGTGATATGCTATTTTGGTTTTTCGTAGTGCATGGGTCAGTTCATAAAAAGAAAAAAAGGTAGCATAATGCAATACGTAGGAATACATGGAGATGTTATACAGATAAACAAAATAAATGGAGCAATTACTTTAAAAAATAACTTATAATAACAACATAATATAAAAAAACTGTTGTTTTAAAAAAAAAAAGGGTGGTTAGTGCACCTGTGTATAATTGTGTGTATTTTTATTGGACAAGAAAGAAGGGATACTGAAACATGTTTATAATAATAGAAACAATAATCATCATAATAATAAAAGTTAATTATGTTAACAACAACATTGTGTATCCTATTCCTGATATGCCAACTACTTTCCCTTTCAGATATTTCAGCTAACCGCTACTTTTTTCCTGTCTCTTGCTTTCATAGGTCGGATTAAAGAGGTGGTAGTGGAGGCTCGGACCATTGTGAACCGCACCAACTCCAACAAAAAAGATGACAACATGAGTGCTCTGCCAAACTGCACTATAGACATCAAAGAACACATCCAGGTATATAAACAGTATATATAATAATAATAATAATAATAATAATAATAATAATAATAATAAATGTTTTGCCACATGCAAAACTGTCCCATAGTTCATAATCCATGTTTTCAATTGTTTCAAAAATGTTTCCCAGCTGAATGACAGTAAGTTGGTGAAAAAGGCTGACATGGTCTCAAAACACAACAGTGTTCTTCAGGAGGTAGCCTTTGAGAAGTTTACACCAGGCAGCATCATCATCTTCAGGTGGGTCAACATGTGGATGGAGTGAAAGAATAGTCCTGTGCATACTCAGTCTAAATCATTGGATTAGTATGTCTGGGCGGGTTTGGTTCTAAATGTGATTTGTGTTTTTCTACAGGGTGACTCTGGAGCCTAGGTCCCATGAGAAGTTGGGGGCCCTGAGAAGCCACCTGATCCAATTTAGTCCTCAGTACCAGACCGGCTCTCTGGCTGACAACAGTACACCATCTATTCTAACCAAGCCATTAATGATGTTTGTATGCCTCAACACCTAAATTAACAATAATAAGTAGGTTTAGGGTTAGTCTATTAGGGTCTAATATTTGAGTTTCATTGAACTACTACTAACTACAGTTATTGTGTAATTTGTTTATTGTGTAATGGAGGTTGAATAATTTCGATTGCTACTGTACGTTTAATGTCATGCAGTCTGTGCACATATGTACCTATGACTAGCGAGCAGTGACAGGCTAAAGACATAATGTTTTTTAAGTAACTCAGAGAGCTACTTAAAGAAATTACTAATAGAAAAATAACAAATAAGATATAAGCTGAAGTTGAAAATAATACAAATCTAGCAGGAGTAACTTCAACAGGTTGCATGCACGATTGGAGCATTGCATTAGCATATAAAGCTAGACGTCATAAGCCTTCTCGGAGTCCCTAGCTTTAGATCATTTTCTACTGTATATGACACTTATGCCTATCAATGCATAGTTGTATATCTTATACCCATGTTCTTCTGCTAATTGTCATCATCATTGCTGATATGCTCTTCCTCATTAGTATCATGTCCAAGCTGACCCTGGCTGACATGAATGTGCTCCTGTACCACTGTGATGCCGAGGAAAGAGAGGATGGGAGAGGATGCTACAACATTCCTTCATGGTTACCTCTCAACTATGGGGGCTTGCAAGGTACTAAAGGTGTAATGTGTAATACCTATACACCTGCTATGAATAAATAGTGGCTGTCACTTCACCTCTTCAATACATACTCTATTTATAGCCATCAGTTATTTAATGTGACAATAGACAGCATTTCTGGATTAATTTAATCACTATGTAGTAGACGTTTATTGCATGTCAGAGCTCTCTGGATGTGATATCCCTTTCACCAGTAAATACAAATACACTGAATCACTGACTATCCGAGAGCATTTGGCCAAACAAATACAATACAATCGCTTACATTTTATGTATTCCCATTATTGTGGAACAACTGGAGTAATGTTGACTGTGGAAACGTTATCAGGTAAAATAACCCGTTAACTGAGGACGCAAAGAAAGCTAAGAGGGAGAGTGATTTGGAACTTTCCTTCTACTAAACTAGATTAGTAAATAGTAAATGATTTTAATAGGTTATTACTACCGGGTGTTTTACTGCATCTTTATAATAGAGATTGGGGTTTTTCTAATTTATATTGAGGATTTTGAAGGTTGTTTCTTACCTACTACCTAGTACAGTAAAATGTACCATGCTGCTAGCGGTAGCCATCTAACTTACTATGTACAGTGTAAGCAAGTACATTTATCCTTGTTGTTTAATAAATAACCTACGGAGCCCTGGAGGGTTCATAGAGAGAAAAATAAATAAAACGTGGCCACGTTTTACTTTCTCGTTCACTTGGGAATACACATATAACTATGGAGAACCAGATTTGTGTAAATTACTGTTCGTGGTAATTTGAAAACAAATGCCGGTGGTGTCGGACACACACAAACACACCGAACACGCACACACAGAGCGGAACTGAGCATACACACACACACACACACACACCGACACACACACACACACACACACACACACACACACACACACACCATCTGTCCGGCTGAGAGCGCGTTCACGTGAAAGGGACGGGGTCAGCAACATTTGACCAATCACAAACATGGAGACGCGTGCTGACAGAGCAGCGTCATACTTCATGAATGAATAGTGTAAATAGCAATTCCTGATTCGTAGTACAGGCCACGTAACGCTTTTAACAAGTTAATACAGCGTGGCCTCGTTGTATTTAAAGCGTGGCCTCGTTGTATTTAAAGCGTGGCCACGCTTTACATCTCGTGCGCACAAGTTAATAAAGCGTGGCCACGTTTTATTTATTTCTCTCTCTATGAACCCTCCAGGGCTCCGTAATAACCTACAATAATACCGCTTGGAAATACTTGGATTTACAATTTATCTGTAGCCTCTTTTAAAAAAAAGCCTAGAATGATGGATGTAATAATTGACAAGCCCTTGAGCCTGCTAAAGTCAGCCCAGTTCTGCTTCTCCTTTGTGCTCTCTATAGCCTCTCTCGAAACAATGAGTATTACAAGATGGGGCCTGATGGGGCTTGTCAGATGTTATTCATTATCATTTCAGTAGATATTCGATGGACGGCTTTGACACAATGTCTAATCTTTACACTCTTCACATTCTGTTGATAATTGAAATGTTTTAAAGTTCAGTTTTTGATGATATCATACACATTATGATGTTGCAAAAACAACAGAAGTTTAGGGTATGCGCTATTATTAATATCATCAGCATCCTTTAAACCAGTATATATGCAAGACAAATATTCATGAGATATTTGTGATTTTTAGGGCTGATGTCAGTGTTGGCAGAGATTCGTCCTAAGAATGATCTTGGTCATCCGCTCTGTGATAACCTGAGGCAGGGAGACTGGATGATGGACTATGTCTCCAATAGACTTCTGGCCAAGGAGGGAGCTTTGGGAGAGGTGAGTTACAGCCAGGTTTGCTTTTAGGGCTCTACTTCACATGGTAAATATTATCACCTGCCATATCTAATGAGGGAAACTCCTGCAGTTTTACAACATTATGAGATTGAGATTCGGCTCTTCACAGATCCAACAGGAATATTTACTATTTAAATATGAAATATGAATCTAAAATCCTGACCAAAAATAAAGCCAACTAAAATATAGTCTTCCCAGTTTTTCTGAAAAATCAAAAGGGTTAAGGTTTGCGCTAAACAACAAAATGTTACTTTCAAACAAAACCAATATTTAAATCAATCAATCCTATTTTATTTATATAGCCCAATATCACATATTAGACATTTATCTTCACTCTGTGTTTAGCATATTAGGAATGGAAATATGGGAGAAACCTTGGGGAGATCAACAAAGAAAATGATTCTCCATGGAAAGACAGCTGTGAAATAGATGTTGTGTGAACAGATTAAAAATCATATTGCAAAAAGACAATCCAAATGACAAAAGGATAATGTGACATATTTCAAAATAAAGGATGCTGGAGGCTGTCAAAAATCTTCCAGGTGCCGCCAAAAAATTATAACACGGGAAAGACTTATGTTCAAGACGTTACCTTAAACAGAAAAGAAGACAAAAACTCTGGGAATGATACCCCATTTATAGGATATGAGTTCATACAGTTTGAGATGACATACTGATAAGAAACAAGAGAGGTGAAAAATAAAAGTCTCCCGACAGCCAAAGCATCTAGAAGCTAGGGGCTTGTTAAAAGCAAGTCTTGGAGAGGGTATCTGCCCCCTGAACACAAACTGAGAACTGATTATACAGAAGCGGAGCTATTTGGCTGAAGGCTCTGGCTTTTAATGTACTTTTGGAGACTCCAGGGACCACTAATAACCCTATATTCATGAAATGCAATGTCCTAGTGGAGCAATAGGGTACTACGAACCCTATTCAGATAGGATGATGCCTGATACTTAAATGCTTTGTTAGCAAGGAAGGAATTACATTTTTTATTATATTATGGTATTATATTATTTCTCGAGGAACCAATGCTCCTAGAGATGATCTTTCATCCAGTTGAAGAGTCTTAAGGTGATTTTGAAGGATTGCAAGCAAGTAAAGAATTGCAATAATAAATCTTTAAGGTTACAAATGTATGGCCTATTTTGTATATATGAGGTAGATAAAAGAAGGTATTCTTTGAAATGTGTTTTATGTATACTGTTAAAGGAAATATCCTGATTAAATATAACGCTAAAATTCCTTACGTTGATACTGGAAGCCTAGTTAATACAATCCGTATATCCCTGACTGACTTTCAATTGCATCAAGTTCACAAGTACAAACCAAGATTGTTCAGAAAAACAGGACTCAAACCAGCTTAGTGTGGTATATCTTATGGCTATTACATTGTATATCTCTGTGATAGAATGCCCTGGTCAATAGTATCAAATGCAGCAAAGGGGTCTAACAAGACAAGCATCGAGAGTCCTTTGTCTAATGCAATCAGAAGGTCATTTATCACTGTGCTGTCTGTGATATGATGCATTGGAAAGCCAAATTGAAGATCCTCGAATAATTGTTTGTTATTATCAGAAAATCATGCAGTTTAAGCATTCAAATGTACAGTGTATATATTATGGCAATACATCACAGTTTAGATGTTTATCCAGGTGCCAATAAACTATTTAGATTTATTTGATTTCTATAGCAATTTCAGTGCGAACAGAAAGCACCTAGAATATTATAAAAATACGTCTCTGCTTTAGTTTGGGTGTGTCCTAAGAACTGCTGACTTGTTATTGCCCTTGACATGCAGGTGGGCCACTGGTTCCAGGCCATGTTTGGCTACTTGAAGCACATCCCCCGCTACCTTGTGCCTTGTTACTTCGACTCCATTATTCAGGGCGCCTACAACACCGCTTTAGAGGCTGTTTTCAAACGCATGTCAAGGTATTTTGTTCCTCTTTTTTTTTACTGTTTGATTTCTCTTTCTTTTCTCTTTTTAACAAAGGCTTAATAATATGGGTTATTTAGAAAATGATATACTAATATTACTTTATGTTTTTTTTTAGTTTCTTATCGTACTCAATTTGTATATAGCATATAAACATGAGCATGTAGGAGTCGTAGTAGCCTTAAACGCAATCTTGTTGCATGCCTAGTTGTTGGATTTCGTTAAACATTCATTCCCTCAGTCACTTCACATCCATTCATTAATTTGACTTAGCATTGAAATAACAATATGACAAAGTGTTCACTTGGTGACAAATGTCTTTCCATGTCTTTTGTGTTCCTTTGACTACATTAGCTTTGTGCAGAATGGTTCAAGCCTAGTTAAACAACTGGCGCTGGGTTCGGTGCAGATGTGTGGTGTGGATCACAGTTGGGCTATGCCCACAATCTCTCCTCATCTTAAGGATGTCCAATCTTCCTTTAATGAAGTGACTAAGGAGGAACAGTGCTTTGTGTCACTTGCAGCAGGTATGCACTTTCTAATTTCATAAAATAAGATAACACTACAAAGGGTAAGATGAGATGTGATAGGTGTCACCCAATATACATAGTAAAAGAAATATAGTATAATATATATACACATGCGGAAAAAATTACACATTGCAGGTCTACCTTGAAAAAGAGATCTATAATCTCAAGGGACAATCTGGATAAATAAAGGTTTGAAATTTAATGAAATGAAACATAATAAAAAAAAAATAGTAGTTAGTGTTGCATTTATGTATGTCAAACTAAAGACCATCTTGGGATGGAATCATACCAGCTTCAACAACAATAAGGGTCAGGGGCATAAAGTGACAGGAGCCACGTCCTGCTGAAAACCAATTTTCAAACTTTGCCTTTATTTTGAAGTACCGGTACACACTTTTAAAAAATGTAGTACCTGCAATTTAAACTTCATTCTAATCTAATCTACACACATGTGAAGTTTTGTAACCGCATCTTGCCAGGCTGCTACATTAATGCAGCACATAAGACAAATATAAAATAACATCAGCCTTAGCTTATGATAGCTCTCATATATTCATCATTCTGTATGTATAATTAGGTAAAGAACAACTGTTGCCCTTATACATGGTTGTTTGTCCTTAATACAGGTCTTCCTCACTTTTGTGCTGGGGTATTCCGTTGTTGGGGCCGTGACACCTTTATTTCCCTGCGAGGCCTGCTGTTGCTGACTGGCAGATACCTGGAAGCTCGGTCAGTCCGCAATACTAGACAATATAGACAAACATTGTCTTCAAGACATAAGGCTTTGAGCACAGTCTGTTTGAATTTAACATACTGTGGTCTTTATTTTCATATCATATTCAAATCATTTGATAAATGTCAAATAGATCAATTACCTATTCAAGGGGCATTTTATGGGGATGATTTAAATATGACAAGGTATTTCTTTCCACGGGCACCTGAAATCTGATATGTTTTGTCTATAATAGCACGGCAATCTAAAAAAACAAAGTGATAATTTCCATTTAGATTTCCACAGTTTCTCCATCACTTTTTGTTATGGTCAATAGACCTCATTAAGTTTACACAAAATGAAACAAGATTTTTGAGTCAAATAAGGTACCATTTTGAAAATAATCTTTACATCCACGGACTGGTATATGTCAAACTTTAATCTAGTTTCACTGTTTATGAAACACCTAGTATGAATTATCTCCCAAATCTGTGTTAAGTCTTCTTAGCCAACGTCATATACCTCAATTCCACAAGTTCTAAAGCGCATAAAGTTGAATATTGTCAATTTTTTAAAACAGAATAAATTATGAACTAGCGAATGCAATTCCTGAAGAAATTGTGGTGTGAATGATGTATGCTGAAAAGCTCACACTGAACTTGCAATGCTGTTTTTAAAAGTGACTTTTGACAATAATGTTGTGAAATTGTTTAAGTAGTTGACATCCACTGAGTATGTGTTATGCCGCAATAATTAGCTGATAAATTGTGAGGTATAAATACATTGACATGTTTACTGAAAGATGCTACTTTTGAATAGAACACCAAACATTTATTGAAATTAGTGATCAATTACAACAACTGTTGTGAAAATTTGAGGTCACAAAAATTAACTGGAGAAATACCTCTGTTTAATCTAGCCTATTCAAATCATAATGGGAATAGCAGGTGGGGTTAACTGAAAATATTCACAATCTCAGAATGAAGTAGTATAGATTGCAAGCATGGCAAATAATTTGTTCATTGTTGAATTATGAGACGTTTCACAGTATGGTGAATTTTAACAGTAATGGCATCTGTTGTGCTCTTTCCAGAACTCAATTATCTGAACCCTGATCTATTAAACCACTATCCCAATTTTCACAGGAACATCATCCTAGCATTTGGAGGTACACTGCATCACGGCCTGATCCCCAACCTGCTTGGCAGTGGCACTAATGTGCGCTACAACTGTAGGGATTCTGTTTGGTGGTGGCTGCAGTGTATCCAGGAGTACTGCACACTAGTACCAGACGGTGTCTCCATCCTCAAGTGTCCTGTCAAAAGGATGTACCCCAACATATCTGAGCAAAAGCCATATGGAGCTGGGGTAGGACTGTGTGCTTTGTTCTTATTGGTTCTTGATATGATGAGCCAGAGTCACTGCTGTTTGAAATCATACTAGATGGAGCAAAAATGTATTAGCAATGAACAATTACGCCTCTTTTTCCCTGATTTTAGTCAGTCAACAATGACTTGACTTTGGTTCTGGTCACACCACTATATTTAACCAACACAGTCAGTTCTCTTGCATAGCCAAACTTTTCCCCACAGAACTCTGTCTGCACATAAGAAAGGTTTGGTTGCACCAAATATTATTCTTTTCAAAGGGTTAGCTTGTAAAATCACATCAGTCTTTGGCAAAGCATTACACCATAAAGTAGAAATACCCAAATAAAGTTCCAAAATGGTTCTTAAAGACTGTTGCATACTATGGGGTAGCCTATTCTTTAGCATTTTCATGTTTGCCATTTATAATTGCTCATTAATACAAATGCTATATACATTTATCCATTGTAAAAATGAAAGGAACTGCACAGTTCTGTAAGTTATCTGAATCTTCTGAAATTAATTGGTGTTTTTATTTGAATCAAAACATTTGGAGAATTTAATTCCTTTTTTTCTTCAGGAACAACCATTGTATGATGTTATCCAGGAGGTCATGCAGAGACATATGCATGGTATTCAGTTCAGAGAGACCAACGCTGGGCCACAGTTGGACAGCAATATGACTGATGAAGGTATTTTCATGCACTCATAACCAATACTGCTTAATGATTTTTATTTGATATCTTTTAGCTTTACACAGCTCAGGTCAGGTCACACTGTGTACTATTGTATAGATTAAGAGGATACATTATTTCACTCTGGTGTTATTTAAGTTACACACATCGTTTTTTGATAAACACATGAACACAGGTACAAACATTGGAGAGGTGGCATTGGGAAGGGGCTGCCAGTTGTCTGGCGCTAAGTAGCAGTCAGGGTTTGATGCCTTTCACCTTTCAAGCTGATAGTATTATGGATGTTGTATATATACAACATTTAAAAAATGTATAACTGTAACATTGAACAGATTATTATCTGTGAAAACTTTAAAGGTTTTCGAGATTATTTAAATTGTATATTTTTGCAAATAATGTAAAAGTTACTTCATCAGCAGCATCATGAGGTCAGACCATGAAGTTTTTGTTGTCTGAGGAGTAGCTGCTTTGAGTTTTGCGTTTTTTAAACACCAGACATTAATGTCAGTAATGCCAATCGGCTAGAGTTTCAATCCTTTTTTAATAAAATGTTTGGATAGATTTACTCAGGAACACCAAGGTACGATTGACCATCAGCGTCTATGCACTCTATTTAAGGTACATTTAAGGTATCACTCTGTGATACTGATAAAAGCCCATCTGACTCTCACCAGGTTTTAATGTAGAGGCTGCAGTGGACCAGACCACTGGCTTCATCTCTGGAGGAAATCGCTTCAATTGTGGAACTTGGATGGACAAGATGGGCGAGAGTGAGAGGGCACACAACAAGGGAATACCTGCTACACCAAGGTATGTTTTTTCTTATATCTCCATCTTTGTTTATTGAGCAAGCATCCATCATGACTACGTTTAATTTGTGAAAGTTAAAAGCTAAAAAGATACCTTTGCAAAGTTGCTAAATCTATAATTTCACTGTGAATATTATGTATCATGTAGTATTTAAAGGTGGCCTATTATGCAAAATGCACTTTTTTATGTCTTTTATAGATAAATATGTGTCCCTGATGTGTAAGGAGACTCACAAAGTCACCCATTCTAGCCATGCCTCATATCCCTCTATTTCACTTTCTGTTTCAAAAGTGCTGATTTTGGGTATAAAGCTTTAAAAAAAAAAAAAGATTAAAAAAAAAGGAGGGGGCTGAGCTCATGCGGGACCTGGCAGCTATTTTCTAAAGGAAATACTGCCGTGATGAAACGCCATATCATGGATTAAAAAAATGGATGAAACGCCATATCATGGATTATCAAGGATTATTTCTGAAACAGTATGGAGCTCAAAGGCTTTTTCTCTTGCCGGTTATACCACAAGGTGAGTTCTTTTTATATCCAGCTTCTTCACACACATGCTCTCCAGTACAGGTTAGCCAATGCTAATGTAAACACCAACCATATTACGTCCAAAACAGTCGGGCATTTTTTCTGATAGCAACTTTCTGATAGTGCCGTGGGTCCACATTTCCGATATTAGGTCATATCGGACGCAAATCTGGATCAGCTCCGTTGTACCCCCGTTTTTTGAGATTTGGGTACGGAGGAAAAGAGCGAGGGTTTTATTTTCTGACGCTGCGTGAGTTCCCTGACACACTGGGGACATCAAAAAGTGCATTTTGCATACTAGGTCCCCTTTAAGAAAGAACTATGTGCTGTATGAGAAACAATGCGCGCCGTGTTTGGGGAGTAATATGGTCTGTGTTTACATTAGCAAGCATCGCCAACACTCAGAGCTAACGCTGTACTGGAGAGAATATGTGTAACGTTATGTCCTTGCGGTAAACCCTACGAGAGAGAAACGTTTGAGCTCCCTACTGTTTCAGAAATAATGCTTGAAGTGGTTGGGAGCATAATATGGTATTTAATCACGGCAGCGTTTAGCTGAGTTTCTCCCAGTAGAAAACTCTCTTAGCAGGGGAAAGCTGCGTGACCCTACAAAGGGGCGTGGCTAGCAGCAGCTGTTCCATTTAAAGCTACGGTCACAGAATCAGCCTTTTTGGAACATGGCTTGAATATAGGAGAATAGAGGGGTATGAGCCATGGCTACAATGGGTGATCTGTTTGGTATTTTTAGCAAAAAACTTCAAAGACATGTTTTGTATAAGTATGGCCCTACAATATATTTTTCAAATATAGCATACGTCCCCTTTAAATAAAAACAAACAAAGGATTTTCTCAAATTAAAAAAATAGGGTTAATACGTTTAAATACTGGTCACTTTAGATTCTACTCTTACATTCTAGTGGCATGTATTATCAGTGGAGCTGCTGGCAGTAAAATGTTGAGCTCTGTCAGATTCTCATCCAGACTACAGCGAGATACAGTATAGTGTGACAAACACTATGTGTCAACAACCACAATGATGTGGGAGTCACAGGTCTATCAGAATAGTCTTCAGTCTATAGGCTGAACCTTAGGTACATAATAGAAGAGAACTATTTGGTTCTATGAAGTCCACTAATTGGCTTTGTACTGAACTACACGGCACAGTTTTAATCAACAAATAAATGTTGTTAATATGTGGACATTGATGGAATAATTGTATTATTTTCAGTTATCAGTTTAGAAAGATTGTCAAACTATTTACATTTACAGCTCTTAAAAAAATGCAATATATTTGCTTGAAACTACCACATGCATAGTCGGCCTATAAAAATAAAGCAGTAGGAAACATAATCTCTCCTGCTGCAGGATTAAATATTACGTTTGTCACGAGGCAGATGTATTCTGAAATTTGAAGAATAATATTAGAGCTCAATAGTTTTAAAGATGACCATAATTTGAGTCTTTTTAAAACCAGTTTTTAATCTGTATCCTGTCAATATAACCTCCACTATTTGGATCTCTGCGTGTCTGTGTGTGATACAGGGATGGCTCTGCAGTGGAGATAGTGGGCCTGTGTAAATCTACTGTTCGATGGATTGTGAAACTGCACAACAATGGGCACTTCCCCTATGCAGCAGTCAACATATGCAGAGGAGGTACAGTAACATCACATACATTCAGGATCACTTTAATAATCACAAGATCTCTATAGGTGTGTGTCATGGTGTGTTTTTGTCAGGTAGCACTGCACTGGTAGTGGAATGGGCAGGACTTTATTGAAACATTTATATAAATTGCCTTTTATTGCCTTTACGTAAAGTTCAATGTTTAACAAAATTTTTGCACTCCTCCACAAAGATAGAGATTAGCTCTAAACTATTAACTGCGGTAATTATTGGTGATGACACTAATACGCATTTTCATAAGTAATCAATTTCAGGAAGCTGCTTTGGTTTACACTATTTCTTTGTTTTTTGTTTTTTCCGAATTATTACAGATTCAGGGATTTTACATTCTCCATAACAATCTTGGAACCATGTTATTTTTATTTCAGGACAGACATATTCTGAGTCATATGCGAAGTGGGATCTTAAGATCCAGGAGAACTTTGAGAAGAAGTTCTATATTCCCCATGATCCAAAGGACTATGAGGGGAAACAACCTGAGCTGGTTCACAAAAGAGGCATCTACAAGGACAGTTTTGGGTCTTCAAGTCCCTGGTGTGACTACCAACTCCGCACTAACTTCCCTATTGCCATGGTGGTGGTAAGTAGCTGCTGTGTGCTATGCTTTTGGTCACTAAATCTAATTTTACTTTTTTTTAATGTTCAATTAAAAGATTGGGTTCTATTAGCCAGTTCCATTTTTGACTGTGGTCTATGGTGATAAAATACTGAGATTTGCTAAGCTCAGAGAACATTTAAAAGAACATTTGAACATAATATATTAAAACCATGAGACTTATTATCACTACATGGTAGACATACACTTATTGGCCAATGTATTAGGTACACAATGTTCAACTGCTTGTTAACACAAATATCTATTCAGCCAATGACATGGCAGCAACTCAATGCATTTAGGCATGTAGACATGGTCAGGACGACATGGTGAAGTCACTATACACATGATATAAAACACCGAACAAAACACAACCTATTTGCTTCAGCCAAAAAATATATATCTTAACCACTTTATATGAAAAGTTATTTCTCTTAAATTAAGTTGTCAAAATCTTTGGCTGTGCTCTACAACAGTCAACTAATTGCAATGTTCATCTTTTAATGCTAATGTTTTTAAATCCAGGCTTTTTCACTTTAGCTAACTCGCTTTGCAGTGCAACGACATCGCTTTGATTTAATTAATTCTTTACCGTGATCTCATGACACCAATTTGCGTACGGCCCAAATTTGGCCAGGGGCAGCACTGAGACCCATGGCTGTTGTATTTCAGTTTGATGTTTATTAATGATTTTTTTATTTGAAGAGAGTGTGTCCAGACCAAGGGGTAATCTGGACCAGCAGCAAGGGTTACACAGGCTAAGGAGCACTGTGTAACCAACATATAAACAGTGTCTGTAGATTTGTAGAGAGAGTACAAAAGTTAGCGTCTTGCTCAGGTCAAAGCTTGTTTATTTCTGACATGGCTGTTGTATTTCAGTTTGATGTTTATTAATGATTTTTTTATTTGAAGAGAGAGGGCCTGTGTGTAACCCTTGCTGCTGGTCCAGACCTAGGGGTAATCTGGACCAGCAGCAAGGGTTACACAGGCTAAGGAGCACTGTGTAACCAACATATAAACAGTGCTTGAATTGGAATAAAAAAGGTGCCAGTACTCTAAATCAGCAACAAGTATTTGGCACAAAGTCATAGTATATCCTATAATGCTGGTGGGTTTGTCTCTTTACTGTATATTTTAGAAAGGCTCACTGTACTTAAACAAAATGACTCAGGGTGCATCTGAGATTAGAGGGGGTGCAGTGGTAAAGTGCTATTTTTATAAGTGGGGAGTGGACCTGACACCCTCTAGTCTAGGGGGGTCCTGGGGCATGCTCCCCCGGGAATTTTTTTTTTTAAATATTGAAGTTAGATGAACCAGCACCTTACCGTGGTAGAGAGGTTTGTGTGCCCTGATGAACCTGGGGGCTGTGTTGTCTGGAACCTTGTGTTCCTGGTAGGGTCTCCCATGGCAAATTGGTCTCAGGCAAGGGGTCAGACTAAGATTGGTTCAGAAGACCTCATGAAAGACGACACACGAAGTGAGGATACCCGGCCCGGAGGAAGCCCGGGGTCCCCTTCTGGAGCCAGGCCCAGAAGGAGGACTCGTCGGCGAGCGTCTGGTGGCCGGGCTTGCCACGGAGCCCGGCCGGGCACAGCCCGAAAAGGCGACGTGGGCAACACCTCCGCTTCTCCGTCCCGCGGGCCCACCGCCTACGGGAAACAGCGATGGGGTCGGGTGCGCTGCCAGAAGGGTGGCAGTGAAGGCAGAGGGTCTCGACGGACCAGACCCGGGCGACAGAAGCTGGCTTTGGGGACGTGGAACGTCACCTCTCTGGGGGGGAAGGAGTCGGAGCTTGTGCGGGAGGTGGAGCGGTACCAGTTGGATCTGGTTGGGCTCACCTCTACGCACAGCGTCGGCTCTGGAACCTTACTTCTGGATAGGGGTTGGACTCTATTCTTCTCCGGAGTTGCTCAAGGTGTGAGGCGCCGGGCGGGTGTGGGTGTGGGTGCTTATG